CTCTAAGTAATCTTCCGTCAAAAAACCGAAATTTCAGACAAAAAATTCGTAAAAATCGAAAAAAAATCTTTAAAAATAGCTGAAAAAACCTAAACAGGTTTAAAAATTTTGCAAGAAATCGAAGAAAAATGATTTTTTCGAAAAAAAAACCAGGAGTTTTGGCGGAAATTCAAAACAAATTCCAGAAGTTTTCTGAAATTTCTCGACTTTTGTGCTTTTCTCGGCGATTTTTTTCGCTAGCAAAAATTTTCAAAAATCAGTAAAAGTATCTTCAGATTACTGTAGTTTTCGTTGCGAGAACTTCCTTGCCCCTTTCTCAAAAACTTACCACAATTGCGGCGAAAAACCAGCCGAAAAATGGTTTAATGAGCTGCCAGAGCTCCCACATTGTCATCGACGCATTCTGATCTTTCGATCTCAAGTGATCGATTCTTTTACTGGAAATCCGAGGTGCACATGACACTTTTCTGAAGGTAACGGCCGCTAGACCCGTCCCGAAGCCACAAATCCGCCAGGTTCGAAGAATTGTCGAACGAGATATTGGTTTGTGAAGCCATCGCAATGTCTGATAGCTGAAAAAAACCATTTTGGACTAATTTAAAAGTTCCAATTGTGGCGTTTAATTGATATCAATTAATAGAAAAATCAAAACTTACGAATTTTTGCTATTTTGCACTATACTTTTGAATGGGATTTGTGATAGTTTTGATAGAATAGTCATTTTTTGAATAGGACTAAATAATCAATAAGTTCTTGTTATCAGTAAAGCATTGGCAAACTTTTTCACAGAAATCACTAATTTCAGAAAAAGTGAGAAGCGCGCCGCACGGTTGCGAAAACCCTGCGCGCACCTTGCGTTCTCTCGATTTCAGTTGTTTTTGTTGCATTCTTTCATTGTTTTTTGCTAATTCTCCGTGGAAATTGGTAAAAACGAATTGAATTTGTGAAAATTGATGAATTTAGGTCATTTGGTACCTAAAATTATTTTTAGAAGAGTATAAGTAGATTGTGAACTATTGCTCATTATTTTACTTGGAAAAAACCTTTTGAAAATCTAATTTTCTGCCGATTTGAGCTGTTCTTTTCGATTAATTTTTTTATTTTAGCTATGGACGATTCGGACGACGACTATGTCAAAAGTCAAGACGAAATTCTCACCTTCGTCGACACCGACGACTGTGCAATGTCCGCGGCCACTCAGGATTCTCAATTTGATTTGGATAATCAATTCAGTGTTCCCACTCAAAGTTCACAGGTAGAAACCCCTATTTTTACTTTAAAATCGCTACTTTTTTCTTTCAGACCACCGATTTGCTGCAAGGGACCGATGGTACCAGTGATTTGCCGTTCCATGACGTTGAAGACGAATCGGATAGTGAAAAATCGCTAACAGAAGATCAAGCGAAGTTGCCAGAGCATGCTTGTCGTTACTGCGGAATCTCGGATCCACTGTGCGTCGCAAAGTGTACAGTCTGCATGAAATGGTTCTGTAATTCCAACGATGGAACCCCAGGAGGTCATATTGTACATCATATGGTCAGAAGTCAACATAAAGAGGTAAGAAAATAATCAAAATCTCTATAAATTTCACTAATTCCAGGCCTACACCCACAAGGATTCTCCATGCGGTGATACTCAACTTGAATGTTATCGGTGTGCCTCGAAGAACGTCTTCAACCTCGGTTTCATTCCGGGAAAGAAGGATCAAGTGGTTGTGATAATCTGTCGTACACCATGTGCAAATCTGGCATTTCAAAACGACGATAACTGGTCGCCAGAAGACTGGAAATCGGTTATCGCTGAGAAACAGCTGCTTTCGTGGATTGTCAACGTGCCAAGCGAGGAGCAAGTAGCAAGAGCTAGGAAGATTACGTAAGTAGCTCAAAAATTAAATAGAGAAGTATATTTTTGGATTGTTGCAGAGCTCAGCAAGCAATACGTCTCGAAGAACTCTGGCGCGAGCATCCAGAAGCGACACTCGACGACCTGAACAGACCAGGACTCGATAGAGAGCCGGATCACGTCCAATTGAAGTACATGGACGCTCATCAGTACGCCAAGATTTTCCGTCCGCTTGTCGCCATTGAGGCAGAATACGATCGTCGGATGAAAGAATCAGCATCACAAGCAGTGGGAACTGTTCGTTGGGAACACGGACTCCGGCAATCCGTTCTTGCCTTTTTCCATCTCCCACAATTCGCTGATGGGGTCATGAAACTCGCTAAAGGAGATGAATTGCGGTTGAAGCATAACCAAACAGTGGATGGTTCGGAATGGAGTAGGATTGGAAGTGTTATGAAGATTCCTGATAGTAAGTTTATTTTTTTTCCCTCGAGTTATATGTTCTTATTCGTACTCTTGAAATTTCAGACCACAGTGAAGAAGTTGGAATTGAGATTCGCGGCCAGGTTGATCGATCCGTTATGGAGAGTCGTATCATGTTCACTGTTGACGTCGTTTGGAACGCTACCACCTTCCATCGTCAGTACAATGCTCTGGATGCTCTTGTCAACGACCAGAAGTCTGTATCTCCATACCTTTATCACAAGCTTCTCGGAAAACCATTTGATGAAATGATGCTCAAGTTCGAGCTTCCTCGTCGTTTGTCTGCTCCAGGACTTCCGGATCTGAACAGCTCCCAATCGCAAGCTGTGAAGCAAGTGCTTACCCGGCCACTCAGTCTTATTCAAGGACCACCAGGAACTGGAAAAACTGTCGTTTCTGCCACTATTGTCTATCATTTGGTACAGAAGACTGAGGGAAATGTGTTGGTTTGCTCGCCGAGTAACATTGCAGTTGACCATTTGGCTGAGAAGATTCACAAAACAGGACTTAAAGTTGTCAGATTGTGTGCGCGTTCTCGGGAACACTCTGAAACCACTGTGCCTCATTTGACGCTTCAACATCAATTGAAAGTATTGGGAGGACCGGAACTCAAGAAATTGATTCAGTTGAAGGAGGAAATCGGAGAGCTGGAATCGAAAGACGACCTGCGGTATCGTCAATTGAAACGTGTCAAAGAGCATGAACTTCTGGCAGCTGCTGACGTCATCTGCTGCACGTGCTCTTCAGCAGCCGACGCAAGATTGAGCAAAATCCGAACAAGAACTGTTTTAATCGACGAGAGTACACAAGCCACGGAGCCTGAAATCTTGGTTTCTATCGTGAGAGGAGTTCGTCAATTGGTTCTCGTCGGAGATCATTGTCAACTAGGACCAGTTGTCATTTGCAAAAAGGCAGCGATCGCTGGACTCAGCCAGTCTCTTTTCGAGCGGCTAGTACTTCTTGGCATCCGCCCATTCCGTCTTCAAGTTCAATATCGTATGCACCCAGTGCTCTCCGAGTTCCCAAGTAACGCCTTCTATGATGGAAGTCTTCAGAATGGTGTCACAGAGAATGAACGGCAAATGAAGGGCATCGACTGGAGTTGGCCGACGCCAAGCAAGCCAGCTTTCTTCTGGCATTGCAGTGGAGCTGAGGAACTTTCAGCTTCGGGAACCTCTTTCCTGAATAGAACTGAAGCTGCGAATGTGGAGAAGCTAGTGTCGAAATTGATCAAAGGAGGAGTTGAACCACGTCAAATCGGAGTCATCACACCTTACGAAGGTCAACGCAGTTTCATAGTCAACTACATGCAAACACAAGGAACGCTGAACTCGAAGCTCTATGAAGGTGTTGAAATCGCCAGTGTCGACGCATTCCAGGGACGTGAGAAGGACTACATTATTGTGACTTGTGTTCGATCCAATGATATACTCGGAATCGGCTTCCTTAGCGATCCTCGGCGTCTGAATGTGGCTATCACTCGTGCAAAATATGGAATCGTGGTTGTTGGAAATGCTAAAGTGCTCTCAAGACATGAGTTGTGGTATGAGCTGATCAATCATTATAAGAAGAAGGATATGTTGTATGAGGGACCAATTAGTGCATTGAAACCATTCACAATGACACTTCCAAAGCCAATTCAGAAGGCGAAGAACAATATTGCGGTGGGTGTTATCAGTTTTATCAGCTCTTCTGTCATATTAATTCCATTTTCAGGGAGCCAACAACCGCTTCGGCATCAAACGAATGCAATACACTTATAATGAGTACAAAGTTGTCGATCCATCGCAACCACGTCTTCCACCAACCTACGCGAATACGCAGAATCTTCTCAGCATGAGCAAATCGTCTAGAAATTTCAATCAGAATGTTCCGGTGCCGGCTTATATGATGGATCCATTGATTTATGCTGCAAGGGGACAGAAAGGTGAACACATTTTGAATTTTTTGGCTGTCAAGTTCGGATCTTCAGCTTTGAAAGTAAAAAAAAATAGCCTCGAAATCCTGATTTCTAGCTTCAAAATTTTGATTTTTTAGTTAAAAAATTTTAACTTACAGCTCTAAAATTCTATTTTTAGCTTTAAAATCCTGCTTTACAACTTTAAAATTCATCTTTTTCAACTGCAAAATTCTGATTTTTTAGCTTTAAAATCCTGATTTTTAGCTATGAAATGTTGTTTTTTGACCTGGTAAATCCTAATTTTAGCTTTAAAAGTCTGTACTTTGAATTTCTAAATTCTGTTTTTTCAGCTGTAGAATCCTAATTATTAGCGTCTAATTTCTGACATTCAACCTTGAAAGTCGATATTTCAGCTTTAAAATTTTGATTTTTATCTTCAAAATCATATTTTTTTGTTGTTCAAAAATTCTGGTTTTTAGTAGCTAAATCCTAATTTTGAGCTTTAAATTCCTCATTTTCAGTTTGGAAATTCTGATTTTTAGCTCTGAAATACTTATTTTCAGTTTCGAAATCATCCTTTTCAACTTTAAAATTTCGATTATTTAGTTTTGAAATCCTGATTTTTTGTTTTGAAATTCTGATTTTTAGCTCTGAAATTTTGATTTTAAGTTTTAAGTTTCGTATTTTTACCTTCGAAATCCTGATTTTTAGCTTCAAAATCTTAGTTTTTAGCTTCAGCCTTCAGATTTTCAGATTTAATATCCTCAATTATAATTTAAGATCGTCGTCGTGAGCAACGCCGTCAACAAGCCGAAGCAATGGATTTCTCCCAAGACATGTCCCAATCGCAAGCGAACTACGGCCCAGGAGCCTCCCAATCGCAGTCTCAATCCCAGTACATGGACGGCTCCTCGCTATCCGCATGGTCGCAATCTCAAACCAGACCACGTCGAGGATACCAAGGATCCACTCAGCAGATGTCTCAAGATATGGACGATATGGAGCAGAAGATGTCCGATTTGCTGATGTCGCAAGACTGTTGAGGGGTGTGCGTTGTGTTCCTTGTGTCACCAGTCATCGTCTGGACTCATAAGGATACTCGAAGATGCAACCTTGACTTGATGAGAATCAACCCCGGATTGCTTTACTGGATTTTTGCAAGAGATTTGTCCCTCGCCACATTTTTCTTGTTTCCAAATCATCCTTTAATGTTACTCTGTTTTTCTTTTTCAATAATTAAAGTCCCCAAAAAATCTGAAATCCTCCCCCAAAAAAATTTGCGATCCTGCGTACATATCTCAAGTATTAGTTCCATCTGCCTCCTGCATTCCTGTAGTTTCTGATAATCCCGTTGTATTTCTTTAATTTTTTTCTATATATCGATTCCCTTTTAATGGACCATATAAAGTCAATTTCTGATATTTTAGGTCCCATTTTTGTTCGATTACAGGTCACAAATACCTATATTATCTATACTTCGACCCTTTTTTTTCCAGACTTTTCCATTCAACGAATTTAGGGTTTATTCGCTTTGAATCTAAAGCGAAGAAGAACAAAAGATGGTCCACAGTAGCCGTCGCCGTAATTTCAACAACAAGAAGAAGGGACACGAGCCGAGAGAGAACAAATGGAGAGACGATCGAGATGCTCCGGGCAATCAGGGATATCGGGAGGTGCTGAAGGAGAACGAGAAATACTGGGAGTACTATAAACAGCAGAATGTGTTCCCGTTGGAGCAATTCGACGAATTCAAGGCGGCACTTCAGAGAGACTTGCCGGTTTCGTTTCGGTTCCAGGGGTGTCATAAGTGAGTAGACTCCCCACTCTGGGCGCAGAAGAACGGAAAGAATTTGAAAAAATTGAAAAAAAAACGATCTGAAACCGTCAAAAAACATTTTTTTTTGGAAATTTGCGACACAGGATTACTGTAGTTAGAGGTATCTCGAACAATTTAGGCTGAAAGAAGGAAGAATTTTTTTTCAGATTTTTGTTAATTTTTTCTCACTGAAAATGGAAAATTTCGAGAAAAAAATCTGAGGTTCTTTCGCCAATTTTCTCAGCTTTACAAAATTTTAAGACCTTCTTAGGTTTTTCAGCTATTTTTGTAAATTCTTTTTCGATTTTTCCAGTTTTTTGTTAAAAATTTGATGGAACGGTGTTTGATTACTGTAGATTACTGTAGATTACTACTGTAAAAAACTAATTTTTTATTGAAAACACAATTTGTACGAAAAACTACAAACTACAAGATTTTCTACAGTAATCTTCCGGCCAACAACATCATCCCGTCAAATTTAAGACAAAAAAACTGGAAAAATCGAAAAAGAATCTTTGAAAATAGCTGAAACCCCTAGAAAGGTCTAAAAATTTTGCAAAAAAAAAGCTGAGAAATTCCGGATAAAAACCTCGAATTTATCTCGAAAAATTTCAGTTTTTAGCGGGAGAAAAATCAGCGAAAATCTGAATAAAAACACTAAAAATTGATTTTTTCAGCGTTTTTTCCTATTTCTATGTGAATTTACACGATTTTCTGCACAGAATAAAGCAAAAAACCACCATACACCACTGTGAATGTATTTTAATCCTAAATTGTTCGAGATAGCTCAAATTACAGTAACTACAGTAGTCCTGCTACAAATTTCAGAAAATATTTTGAAAAATCTCGAATTTTCTATTATCGTTGACCGAGAGAGTGAACCTTGAGACGCAGACAGATAAACAAAAAATTTCTCTGCGTCTCCATCGTTTGCGTGTTGTTTCGTGTCGCCGCCTCGATATCCCTACCGTATTCAGACTGCAAAAAATACTCTCTAAGTGCCATTTTTTTGGACAACAATAATACTAGTTGAATGATCCCACCCGAAATGATATAATTTCCCAAACCCGCACTTTTCTGCAGAGATCGCGAACAACTGATCCATGAGATGGAAAATCGATTCTTCGGGAAAATCGTGGAAGCCGAAGACACCGCTGTCTGCGTCCCAAAAAGCCTTCCATGGTACAAAGAGGCCTATCAAACTCCGATGTCTCGAACCGCCGTCCGCAGTCACCCGATTCTCGCCCAACTTCATAATTTCCTTGTCACCGAGGCGGAACTCGGAAATCTCTCTCGCCAGGAAGCCGTCTCCATGATCCCACCACTTCTGTTGGCTCCAACTTCCGAGCACTACGTCCTGGACCTGTGTGCTGCTCCTGGAAGCAAGACCACTCAACTTCTGGAAATGATTCATGAGAATGATGAGAATCCAAAAGGAATGGTCATTGCGAATGATGTGGATATGAAGAGATGCTATATGCTCATCCATCATACTCTTAAGAGATTCAGAACTGCCGCTTGTGCTGTCACTTGTGAAGACGCTGCTCGCTTCCCACAAATCGCTGATAGCGATGGAGGACTCATACAGTTCGATAGGGTGCTTGCCGACGTCATCTGCTCCGGAGACGGAACCCTTCGGAAGAATCCCGAAATCTGGAAGAAGTGGACACCACAAGATGGTCTTGGTCTCCATAGAATGCAAATCGCAATCGCTAGAAAAGGAGCTCAACAGTTGAAAGTTGGAGGAAGAATGGTTTACTCGACGTGCTCGATGAATCCGATTGAAGATGAGGCTGTCGTCGCACAGCTTCTCAGAGACTCCAAAGGGTCGTTGAAACTTGTGGATACGTCGAAGATGCTCCCAGAGCTCAAGAGAGAAAATGGAGTCAATCAATGGAAGGTTTTCGATAGGGACATGAAATTGTACAACTCGTTGGAGGATGTCAGTGAGGAGAAGATGAAGAAGGTCATCGTTCCATCGTTGTTCCCACCTACCGAAGAAGAAGCCAAGGAGATGAATCTTCACTATTCGTGAGTTTTTTTATGTGAAATTTGGAGAATTTGTTCAGACTTTTTTTTGACTAGTTTTAGGCTAATTTAGGCTAGTTCAACTTCATGTTTCTAGTCCTATTTTAGACCTGTTAATCATCTTTTCAGATCATTCTTTGAGCAACCCTGGGCTCTATTCAGTGATGTTTCATACTTTTTTTAAAAGCTGAATTTGAGCTGTTCAGGCCGTTTTAGATTATCTAAGCTTGGATTTCGAACGGTTTTAGAGATATTAGGATGATTTTAGACGATTTCAGACCATTTCAACTTGATTTCTAACTGTTTCAAGCTAGTTTTGAGCTGAATTTCGATATTTATGTCATTTTAAGAGTTTTCTGGGAGAAAAATACCCTAACATTGGGAAAATTGGCTTAAATCAGTCTTTAAATGTTGTGATTTTCCAGAATTTTTGGATTCAAAAATTGTCATTTTACGACGATTTTGCTCCTAGAATTTGACCGAAAAACAACTAAAAAATCGCATATTGCTCAGAGATTTTGAGATTTTGAGCTAGATGTTGGCTCCAATTGGATTACTGTAGTTACTGCAGTTAGGACCAGAGATGTCCGGAATGACTTTTCAGGAACGGAATCGCGAATCCGGACAAATTATGAATTTCTTGAAATCCGGAATGTTTTGAAAACGGAATCCGGAAAACGAATTTCCAAATACGGAATCCGGAATTTTTTCGACATTTGGAATTTTGGAAAAGGATTACTGTAGTTAGGACCATCCCCGAAAATGTAGGAAACAGTGAAAAATAGGCGAGAAATATTTATCAGTGTTAATTGAATTTCATGATTCAGTGAGGCTGATTCTGATTCTCTGAATCTTCCTACTTCTTCAAATTCAACGACTTCACTTTGTCACTTTTCAATGGGTCTCCATCGACTACGGTAGATTCGCCGGCGTCCACACCGGCCGGTGGCGGCCCATTGATTCCAATGTCGTCTTGTTTGAAGAAGCGACCATCCGGATTCTCCCAATCGGCTGGTGGAACTGATGGCTGAAAACAATTAAGAAATTCGGCTGAAATTCTTGAAAAGTCAATACATCTGGATCCTTCTTCTCCCAATCGAATCTGGAGCGTGGCGTCTGTCCTTCGTTGAGCATCACTTGCCACAGAGCTTTGAAGATCAAACTGAAAATTTTCAGTCCGCCTGGCGCGCCTCCGGCGCATTACTTACTGATAATCAGGTCTATTATAGTAACTAAGCGTTTTCAAGTGTGGAATCACACCACCCATACACGTCGGCATGTTCAGCATCTGATCCTTTTCCGGCATCAGAATCTTCATCGCCTCCACCTCATCCCTCTTCTGTGATGTCTGCCAAGGCAGCCCTCCGTTGAGCTCAATGAGCACATAAAGAAGAGACCAGACATCGTCGACTCGTCCCTGCTCTTTTCGCAAGCAAACGTTTGGAGAGGTGTAGCGAAGTGTTCCACGGAATTCGGCACTGCCACGGGCTCGGCGAGCCGTCCATTTCTTTGTGGCCTCGCTCTGGAATTTTTGATTAAAAAAGGGTACCATCTCCTCCGAAAATTCTTACAAATTTGGCATACTGCCTAGCTAGACCAAAATCCAAAATATGAACGATTCTGGCTCTCTCCTTGTCTTCCTCATTCCCCAGCATAAAATTCTGTGGTTTGATATCTCGATGAACGAATCCACAGTCATGCATGTACTTGAGCGCATAAAGACACTGAATACCCACACGAGACCATGTACCACGAGAGAATCGTTCCTTGGGTCGTTTGCTCTTCAACGACTTCAAGTTCTCGCCAAGCAACGTCATGATCATGTAGCAGTAGTTTTTTCGTTTCGCCGATGCGAAAAGTTCTGGGACATGAGGCATCGCACCGTTCTTATTGAGCTTTTTGAGGATAAGCTGCTCCAATTTGATTGCTGATCCACCTTCCACTGCATTTGATTCCGCTTTTAGCGCCGCCCGTTTTCCATCGTTCCGCTTTACCAGATACACCTGACCAAAGCCACCTTCGTCTAACGTTTTTTCAATTGTCCATTGGCCGAAACTGCAAAAAAAATTTGACTACTGATAAAATGATAAAAAGGTCCCCTTACTGCTTGCCGGGCTTAAATCGAACCGCGTCCATCGGATCCTTTTCCTCATCTTTTTTATCGTTCTCGTTCGCCATTCTTTTTTCCAAATTTCGGCTACTTTTTTCTTTCCTCCTGTAATCTATCTTTTAATGGATTTTGAAGAAAATCCGAATTGTTCAAAAAATCACCTTTATGAGAGAGATAAATTATTCGAAACTGACTGTCAGTCTTGTAGAGTGAACTGGAAGCTACGAATCTTCTAGCTAAATAGCTAGGTAATTTGAATAGGGAGGTCAGGTGTGGGGGTTAGCGTGAAAATTTGATCTTTTTAAAATGACTACTGTAGCTACAGAAACCCAAATATCACAATTTTCCAGAATGCGCATCACTCCGCACGCTCAAGACACTGGAGGGTTCTTCGTCGCTTTGATTGAGAAAGTCGATGAGTCGAATTTCGACGGAAGTGCTGCCAACGGACCGGCATGGAAGAAGAAGAAAATGTTCAAAGATGAGCCATTCACATTTTTGAAGTTGGACGATGAGAGATGGCACGATATTCGGTGAGTTTTGTATTATTTGTTGACTCGGAAATGTCACCAAAACCAATATGACATGTTTTCAAGTATCTCTCATTCATATATAACTCTCCCATAACTTCGACATCTTTTTACAGTAACCACTACGGAGTCGACGAATCCTTCAAGTACCAAAACCTCTTCAGTCGTCGCCTCGAATCCAACGATGCGAACAGTCGTCAACTCTTCTATGCTAACGACGCCATCAAGAATTTCGTAAAAGAGAACATGGCAAAAGTCTCCATTCAAAACGCCGGAATGAAAATGTTCAGTAGAACAGAAGGCAAAGTGGAGAACACGAGATTCCGTCTGTCACAAGAGGGAATTCGGTATTTATTCAAATTCATGAATAAGCAGAAGGTCAAGATTGGAGCTGAGGACATGCTTCATATGCTGAAATCCGAGGAGAATTTGGTTCCCCTGGAGAAGTTGACATGCAAAGGAGACGTTAGGAAACAGCAGAATGGAACTGTTGTGGTTTATTGTGACGAGGATGAGCCAGTTTGTACTTGGGTTAGTTTTTGGTTTAAAACTAGCGTAAAAGCTGTATAAGAAGGGCTCCCAAACTTTCAACTTTGACCCAATTTATCTCGGTTTCTGTAAATGATATAAAACCTTGCCAATTGATAAATTGTTTATCATAATATCAGAAGATATCTTTTACAAGAATCTAGATAATTGAGCTCGAAGTTGGTAGTGTGAGTGTCCTTCTATTACAGGTTTTACGGTACCTCCGGAGGGCCCTTCTATTAGAGGGTCCTTCTATTTGTCCTGACATTTTTTTCCGAAAACTTTTATTGAAAAATTGAAGGAAATTTCGTTCAAAATGCATGAAAATCCATTAGTTTCGCCAGAACTAAGCAAGTTTTTTAGCAAAAACTCTCGGAATTTCCAGAATATTTATCACTGAAACGTGCGCAAATTTTGAAGAGGGCCCTTATATTTCAGGGGACCCTACTATTTTTTTCAAGACCTTCTCAAAGTGCCCTTCTAATACAATTTTACAATTAAAACTAATTTTCCAGGTCGGCTACCACACCATCGCCCCATACATCTCCAAAGAGGAACGTCTTCATCTTCTTCGAATGATGGGTGTGGATTGTGCAGAAATCGAGCTGTTGATGAAGAGCAAACGGAAGGAGAAGGCCGCCCAGGATCGTGAAGCTGCGTGGGCCAGGAAAGAAGAGGAGGCCAAGGCCAGTGGAGAACCATCGACGTCTTCTGATGCGGCTTATGCTGCTCAAGAAGCTCCAGAAGAGAATATACAGGAGATGAGCGAAGTTAAGGAGTAGTTATTCTATTGTTATTGTTTTTCGTTCTTTTTTTTAATTCAAAGTGAATCCTTTTTCCCCTGATATTTATATACCGTACTTCCTCTAATTAAAGCTCATTATCTCGATTCCTGATAAAGATATCAAATATCTTTCAACTGATAAAACATTCACCAGATAATCACCAATAATTTATCAGTTGACAAAATTTTGATATCTTTCACAGTATTCGAGATAATTGAGCTCAAAATTAAAGAAAATACAGTAATCTGTTACTCTGGATCATTTTCCTTCTTGAATTGTTGTTGTCTTGTTGGTTTTTTTTTCTAAATTTTGTCAGTTTTTTTTTCTCCGAATTTCAATAAATCACATATAATTTTTAATCCTCTTCCTCTCTCTTCCCCTTTTTTCTCACCAGTCCTAGCTAAAATGAGCCTCAGCTGTTAATTATACACAATTGGATATTTTCTTTGCTCATTTAACTCCTCCTTCCTTTCGAATTAAACCTTTTTAGATTAGAAACTACTTTCTAGTCTCCAAAAATGCACGCAGAACTGCTCGGATGTGGACAGACGGGAGAAGGACAGCTGGGTGCGAGGCTCTCGGAGCCAATGATACGAGTTCCAGAGAGAATTAGTCAGTAATTAAGATTCAATTCAAATTTTAGATTTTTCAAGTTTTCTGGAATTTCTGAAAATTTCCTCTTTTTATTTGAAAGTTTCTATCGAAATCACAGATTTTTCGAGAAATTTCTGCTTTTCATAAAATTTTGAAATTACAGAATTTTCGAATTTTTTTAGAATTTTTTTGAAATTTTAAAATTTTCAGAAAATTTCGAAAATTTCTGATTTTTTCCAAAATTTTCGATTTTTTCAATTTTTTGAAATTTTCAAGATTTTCAGAAAAAAACTCTGATTTTTTTGGATTTTTTGAAATTTCCAATTTTTCAATTTTCCTAAATATTTCAGCTTTTTTTTCAAAAAATTTCGATTTTGAGGAGTTAGAGATTTTCTGAAAATTAACAAAAATTGGCAAAATTCAAATTCAAAACTTAGAATCTACCAAAATTCCCCCATTTTCTTTCCAGTCGGTGCTCCAAATGATGCTGACGGCACTGCGGTTAAAGCTGTCGCCTGTGGAGAGCAACACACAATTTTCCTGACAAAAGACCGCAAAATGTGGAGTGTTGGAAGCAATGTCGACGGACAGCTGGGACGAGGAAAACGGAGTGAGGGCTCGTTTTCCATTTATCCCGTTTCGTTGACGAGTGGAGTTGGCATTGTACAGGTGAGAGACATCCGGACTTTTGGAAATACAGATAGACGCCCATCTTGAAAATAACAAGCAACCACCAGAATCAGGAAAGACCAACTATGTTTCCTCTAACCGACACCCACCCAAGCCGCCAACTTTGAGCTCAATTATCTCGATTCCTGTGAAAGTTGTAAAAAATTTGTCAACTGATAAAATATTGGTGATATTATGATGAACATTTTATCAGTTGACAAGTTTTTGATATCTTTCACAGGAACCGAGATAATCGAACTCAAAGTTGACGGCTGAGCCAAGTTATGGTCACCTGAAGCTTCTGTAGCTAGAGACGCAGAGAAACGAGACACGCTGCGTCTCTAGCCCAACTTCAAACGATCATAACCGAAAATGGCCGAGGAAATATAATTAGAATTTCAAATCAAAAATTCAAAATATTCCAAATTTTCAGCAAAAAAATCGAGAATCTCTGACCTAACTGACCTAAAAATCTCATTGCAGATCGCCGCCGGCCGAGCTCACAGTCTTGCAGTGGCCGATGATGGCCGAGTCTTCGCATGGGGCTCCAATGAACACGGACAACTGGGAATGGAGAACACAATCACTTGGCAAGAGATGCCAAAACGGATCAATCAACTCAACGAAGTGGTTCAAGTGGCTTCTGGATCCGATCATTGCATCGCATTGACTGAAGGTAAGCTGAGCGAGCTAGGCCAGATGCCAGCGTTTTTGAAAAAATTTGCACCAATTTTTATGAGTTTTGAGCCAAGTTTTCATGATTTTCAGTCTATTTTGCATGATTTAAGACCAGAATTTCCTGAAATTTCAGCCAATTTTCCATAATTTTTGATCTCAAAATTTCAAAAAGTCGAAAATTCGGAATTTCTAAATTTGGAAATTTCAAAAATTGAATATTCAAAAATCCAGAAATTCAAACATTCAGAGTTTCGGAAATTTCTTGGGTACTGTAAATATGACTATCCTACAGTATACCAAGTTAGCATTCTTGGTTACTGTAGGTAGAACATACAGTATACCAAGTTCAATAGGGAATCCTACAGACTTCTATCTGTCTGGAATCCTCTATCGTGATTTTGAAAATTTCAGTTTTTGGAAATCTTCCTAAAACACCCTGCATCTTTTTTTCTAAATTCCTATAGCTTAGTACACATTCTTGGTTACTGTAGATATAGCTACAGTATGCCTCGTCTACTGGGAGAGAGGTCTTTCTGATATTCGATATTGATAACATGCTCAGAAAATCAAAATCAGGTGGAAAATAATATTTATTGAACTTTCGGTTCTTAAATACTCCAAATATACAAATACTGGTTGAATTGAATCGAATCGAATTCACACCTTCTTAACGTCCTCCGACTGGATAAGCTCCTCCGGCTGGGGCGGCGTAGGCGGCTGGAGCTGGAGCAGCGTAGGCTGGTGGTGGTGGAGCTCCTCCTCCGCAAGCTGGGGCTGGTGGTGGAGCACACGCTGGTGGTGGTGGTGGGGCACCGCTGAAAAAATGAGAATTGAGAAATCCTAGAAGATCCTTCTAGAAGTGAGAACTCACCATCCACATCCACCACCTCCTCCGGCGGATGGGAACAAGAACGCCGATGAGGCGGCGATCATTGAGGTGAAGACGACGAAGAAACGCATATTGTTTGAATAAGGAAGAGTTGCTGAAACTGCTTGTCTTCTGATTCCAGATGATGTCTATTTATACTCTGAGGATCTTCAAATTGTCGTCTAATTGATCTCTCCGCCCACCTCCTCTTGGTACACTTTTCGGCAGGTAGATAGAGAGAGGGAGAGAGAGAGAGAGAAAGAGAGAATTTTCTACGCTAAGCTTTACGCTTCTTTACGCTTTTGATGACAGACCAAGTTTCACTTGGCGCGATTCAATGTTTCTGTGACGTCTTCTGATTCTTCTTCGGTTTTTCTTAACGTCGTCATGTCCGTCCGAAGAGTGCAATTCAGCATAGAATATTGTAATATAAGTAGTGTTCATTGCGGTTGGATGGTTTTTAGATTCGTTGATTTCTAAGGATGAATGGATCTGGTGACACGAAAAATGGATATGGGTTGGAATCAGGCTAATCTCATGAACCGAATCCTGAACTTTCTGAAGTTTTCTAGGTTGCTGGATCTAGGTTGTTACCGTATTTCTTCCGAATAAATCGTCAACTTTGAGCTCAATCATCTCGGTTCCTAAGTGAGATATCAACAATTGTAAACTGATAAAATATTGGTGATGCTCAGATAAACATTTTTTCAGTTGACAAATTTTCCATATCTCTTATGGGAACCGAGATAATTGAGCTCAAAGTGGACGGTTTGAGGGAACTTCTAATAGAGCGAATACGGTAGTTGGTATGGGAATCAGTTATAGAGAGTTTGCTATAATTTTATAACTTCTGGTCCGCCGACTGAATGTTCTGGAATCGAGATCTGCTGGAAGTTAGGAAGAATACAGTAGCCACCGAGCTACGCTACAGTATTCCAAAGCGCTACAGTATCATGGTTGATGGAAGCCTAAAGAATCACTCTGGAACAATCTCAAATTTGACTTTGGGTTTTGATTCAAATCAAGGCTGAAACGGTACCTACAGTATGATAGCTGTGTGAATGTTAATACGTTACATCCTACAGTATGATAGTTGTGTTATGATGTGCAATTCCCTTCTACAGTATACTTGTAAATTTAACCACACATACCGTAAAGCCTAGGCCCTCCAAACTAATGTTTGAGCTCAATTATCTCAATTCCCATGAAAGATATCAAAAATATGTCAACTGTTAAAATGTTGCTGATATTATGAAGAACATTTTATCAGTTGACAATTTTTTGATATCTTTGACATGAACCGAGATAAGTTGGCTCGCATTTAGGGGCCTTTCTATTGCAGGCTTTACGGTATCTAGTCTCCTGAAGTGTCTGTTAACAGCAGACTGCGTTACTGCATCTACCGTAATCTTCTTATAATCAAAACATGTCATTCTTGGATACTGTAGATATAGTTATCCTACAGTATACCCAGTTTACTGGGTGGTTTTTTAGTATTTTATATGCTTCGATATCTGGGGATCCCTTTTTTATCATTTCATGAATTTTCTGAATTTCAACGAAGCCATTAGAAATCGTGATAAGCTTGTTTCCACTTGTGATAATGAAACGTCTCAGTCCCCGGTTCTCTATCTGGTTCGAGTTTCCGGGATTCATTGGATGCTTGAAATGACTTATGGTGATAGTTGAACATCGTCTGGGTTACTGTATCTACCGTAGTCTTCTGATCACACTCATGGGTACTGTATATATCGCTATCCTTCAATATACCAAATTTACTGGAATCGGAATCTGACAGACCTCTGATTGTCTAGAATCCTGTATTGAAATTAGATTCTTGGGTTCTTATTCGGATATTTCCTTTGCCCGAAACTCAGAAAAAACAAAATCAGGTGGAAAATAATATTTATTGAACTTTCGGTTCTTAAATACTCCAAATATACAAATACTGGTTGAATTGAATCGAATCGAATTCACACCTTCTTAACGTCCTCCGACTGGATAAGCTCCTCCGGCTGGGGCGGCGTAGGCGGCTGGAGCTGGAGCAGCGTAGGCTGGTGGTGGTGGAGCTCCTCCTCCGCAAGCTGGGGCTGGTGGTGGAGCACACGCTGGTGGTGGTGGTGGGGCACCGCTGAAAAAATGAGAATTGAGAAATCCTAGAAGATCCTTCTAGAAGTGAGAACTCACCATCCACATCCACCACCTCCTCCGGCGGATGGGAACAAGAACGCCGATGAGGCGGCGATCATTGAGGTGAAGACGACGAAGAAACGCATATTGTTTGAATAAGGAAGAGTTGCTGAAACTGCTTGTCTTCTGATTCCAGATGATGTCTATTTATACCGATGGCTTCTTGATCTCTCCGCCCCCCTCTCTTTGGTCCAAAATCTCTAGACGGTTTTTGGACTGATTTTATTTTAATTTACACACATTCTGATTGACATAAATCATGCCTATTACGATAAATTCAATGCCATGGATTTTTTACGAAAGAAAAGGAACTGGATTCGATGGCGAAAGGGGCAAGTTCTCCTCATTTTTTTTCGAAAAAAAGAGAAGGAAGACGTCCTTGATTTGATCCACTTTGATTTAAGACAGAGAATGGAGAAGCACTTTCCTTCTGATTAGCCCGCCGAATTATTTATTTTTTGATAACAATTAATGAAAAGATCGGTTAATTTGTGGGAGATTTGGCGGCGGTATTTAGGAACAAAGATTGAAACAATGAGGACATGATAGAAAAGCAAGAGGGATTGATATGGTGATTACGTATTCAATCTGACTTTGCAAGGGGTTTTGGATTACTGTATTTTTTGGTACAAAAACTATAAGAGCTGTACAAGAACGACAGCTACCGTAACCTAGAAAAAAAAATTCGAATTTTCGAAACAGGAAAGTTGGTGGCCTAGAAAACTCTAAAGCTAGGCCACCTTGGTAAATGGTCTAGAAAACACACCAGATGAATATACTTTTCTAGGCCATTTACCATGATGGCCTAGGAAACTCAACTTGCGGAAGTTAGGCCACCTCGGCAAAGTACCTAAAAAAAGACATTAAGCGCATGTTACACTACTTCTAGGGCATTAACTATGGTAGCTTAGAAAACCCAATTTGCAAGAATTAGGCCACCATATCAAAATCGCATAAGAAGCTCACCGAGTGAGTATGGAGATATTTCTAAGTCATTTATCGTGATGGCCTATAAAAATCATGTTGAGAAAGTGTTTTCCGAGGTCATTTTAACATGGTGGTCTAACTTTTACAAGTTGAGTTTTCTAGGCCATTATGGTGGATGGTCTAGAAAAGAGCCAATATTCACTTTGTGTATTTTCTAGGTCATGCTATTTACCATGATGGCCTAGAAAATTCAACTTGCAAAAGTTAGGCCACCATTTCAATATTGCTCACTAAACATACCAAGTGAATATCAGATCATTTCTAGGTTATTTGTCACGGTGACCTAGAAAATTCATGTTGAGAAAGTTAGGCCACCTTGGGAAATGGTAAAGAAAATTCATCAGTTGCATGTTACACCATTTCTGAACCAACAACTTTGGTGGCCTAGAAAAATCATGCTGTTTTTCTCGTTTTTCTCGAAAAGCTAGCTTTATTTTCTTCCAGATGGTCGTGTGTACGTATGGGGAGAACAAGCCGATGGACGGTGCATTCATCATCCAGAACTCGTCGAACATCTCAATGCGATTCCAATCGTTCGCGTCGAAGCCGGAGCTCGACACTGTGTGGCCATTTCGGCGTCTGGAGCAGTCTTCACATGGGGTCAGAACAATTCCGGAGAGTTGGGAATGGACGATTTTAGGCGTAAGTTTTGGTAGGGTACCGTAATCCTACAGTAATTTTTTAAGTACCTATTTATAGCTACAATAACCCTATACCGTACCTCTTTATAGTATCCCCTTTTAATCATTCACAACTACAGTAACCCTATCTCTTTTTTTCAGCTCAAACCTCAGTTCACCATGTCACCCAAATGGATGGTTTGGGAGTTGTCGAAGCGGCGTGCGGTGACAATCACACAATTCTTCTGACCCATTGTGGACGGACCTTCTCGTTTGGTTCCGACGCTCTTGGACAGTGCGGATTCGGTAAAAAGTGAGTGGATTTCTGGGCCGGCCGAGGTCGACCGCGGAATTTAAAAATTTGGGTACAGTACTCCGGGTTCTCATGGGATAGGCGGGATTCCTAACGGCCTAGTCCTTTACAACTACAGTAACCCTGTACAGCAGCCGGCCCACGTCCGGTCTGCTGCGGTCGGATTCTAGAGAAAAGTTTGGAAAAAAATCAAAGGAAAACGGTTTATTCGATACTCATTGACACATTAATTTTACACACAAAAAAAACAGCACCCCGGACATTTTTTTAAATGATGATGATCTTTTTATCCCTGGCTTAGGCCTTCTGATTCATTCGACTTTTCGGGCGGTTCGTGTAGATGACGTGGTGGATTTTGGAGACGACTCCTTCCCCTTATTCACCGATCCCAATGGATCACAACTGTCCTCATCGAGTGCCTGTCGTTCGTGTCCGAAGAATCCGTCGGATTTCGCCATGGCCATCTGAAAATAGGTGTTGTTAAGGCTGTCGGAAATGAGGAACGGCCAAGACCGTGGCCGGCCGGCCTTAAGCCCAGCTAGGCAAAAAAAAGACACCTACAGTAAGATGAGTGTTATGGTACTCCAAGAAAGTGAGTCCTCCAACCAAGAAGGTCTTCAAGACAAGTGGAACCTTGACGTCTTGAACCAACAGATAGAAGAGCAAGTAGCAAACGGGAAGGTGTCTGAAATAGCCTGTTTATCGGTTTGTCCAGATTTCCTTGACTCAAGGATCTTGATCCAAGGATCTTGAGAATCATACCTGAACAAAAACAGACAAATCATGTTGGCATTGATAAGCAAATCAATCGATTTCGGCATGTTCTTGGATCCATAAAGCAACCGAACCATCGTTCTCAAATGCAGGAAAACAGTTTGAACCTCGACCAACAAGGCGATCATTGCTAGACCAAAAAGTCGTCCCGAGAAGAGAATAATCGAGAAAGCAGTGATAACGAGGGAGTGATGGATGAGATACTCTTTGGATGCTTCCAGCTCTCCGTGATAGTACATATCCAGCAAATCATAGCAAAAGTATCCCATCGAGAAGAGGAACACGTACTCGGCGTTGGCTTTGTGATAGTCATACGGCTCGCGAATGTAGTTGAAGTCAGAGAGAAGGCTGAAAATGGATTTTGAGATCTCTGGAACCCCTTGAAATCGTCCGTTTTGGTTTTTTTTTCTTAAAAACTGTAGAATTCAATTTCTAGGCCATTTTACGACCACCATAATAGACTAAACCATGCCACTTGCCATCAGAGACATCACACATTTCAATTTGTGCTCATCATTCCTCTAAACGTCACAAAATGCTTCTTGCCCCTCTTATCACCTTATCACAGTCAAAATGGCAACATGCCATGTCTCCAAAATTCTGGCATGGTTCCAGAAGTTTCTAATTCCTCATGACTTCAAAATTTGCTGGCCAAATTTATATCATTCTGAATGGCTCGTTGAGCTCTACATTTTGGTTTTTGAGCCAGTTGGAATTTTTGAGTTCAGAGAAAGTTACAGAGCCTGAAACGTTTAAACACATGGCATGTTGCGACTTGTTAGTGATACGAAATGAGCACAAATTGAAGTTCATAGACGACATACCGTAAAACCTCTAATAGAACGACACCCGGAGCGAGAGACTGGTTAGTTTTCATGTGATTTTTCACTCTCTTTTTTCATCTTTCTGTTCGTTTTCGAGGGGTTTGTGTGTTCCCACTTGAACGTTTGAATAGAACCACTTTGCTTTTTTCAATAGTTTTGTTTTCGAATTCCCAAGTTTTCGAGAGTTACAAAAATCCATGGAAAAATAATTTCTGGGTGATTTTAAAGGTTTATT